CAAATCTAGTAGATGTCAACACAAGGTACATACACACCAAGTATCAAAGCATTCAGGCTACAGGTTTTGAAGAAGAAGTCGAAAATTGAATTTTTGACCAAAAATGACCATTTCAAAATAGTCCGCGGTTTTCGTAACCGGCTGTTACGACCTGACATGATTTCAGTTGGGTAAAATAGGGTAACTCGCAATAGATGGAACTATAGCTCCATGGTTTCGTGTTAACACCACGACGAACGAAATAACCGACAGCGAAACCAAGTGAGCTACAGAACTGCAGCTAGGTTCAACACGGTTTCGTTCAACACAATGGCAACAACAGACTGCAACATCTGCGGTCGATCCACACAAACAAAACTTTCGGAAAAGACTTCTGCCAGTCACTAAATTCTACGCAAACACGATTTCGTCTGTCCCAAGAGTTCCACAACATCCATAACCACTTTAGTTCAGTCTTTGGAAGGAATTCAGTCGATTTTAACAGGAGAATCGACCTGCCCACACAGACGGAAACAATTCGACTGACCGACACAGGGACGCACAGACTTATTCATAAACAAAGTTATTCCAACACCATACTATAGATTGCGCTCTCACTGTAGACCGCCACAGTAGAGTTTTGGGGGGCTAATTTGCATAATTTTTGGCAGAGCGACTTCTCATGAACAAATTACCATCTTCACTCATCGAGGCATCCACACACCAACAAGTCATTGAAAATGACACAGTCCCCATTAAATTTTTGAAAGTTCTCTTTGTGCTTGTCATATTAAAGCGGGGGTGGTTGTCGCGTGCGTGTTCTTGAAACTTGAGTTCCAAGCGGGGTATACAACAGATTGTTTATTTACATCAAAACACGTGTTCTGTGTAGTAGTAATATGGCCAAAAATAAAAACAGCCGTTATTTGGCCATCTTTGATCTGATTATGAAACACACTGATATGTATGATGTATGTGCCAAATACAAATGAAAATGGTACATAAATTGTGGAAATATAGTAGTAAGCCCAAAAAGTCAGATTGCTGTCAATCTGCCATCCTTGACCAGATTTTGAAACAAATTGTCATGGACATGCATCCTAACATGTATAAAGTACATGTATGTGCCAAATTTGAATGAAAACTGACATAGCACTTCCAAGATACCGCATAAAAAAATCAAAGAAAGCTTAGAAAGAATCAAAATCCAATGAGTGGTTCTTTAGATATCAGTGGAACAGTCATAGAACAGCTAAAAATTAGCTAATTTTCATGCAAATTAGGTAATTAATATGCACGGATTTTCACCAAAAACTAATCAAATCTGCGCATATGTTCAGAGCATCTATGTACAAAGTTTCATCAAAATCCAATGAGTGGTTCTTTAGATATCAATGGAAAAGACATAGAACAGCTAAAAATTAGCTAATTATCATGCAAATTAGGTAATTAACGAGCATGGATTTTCACCAAAACCTAATCAAATCTGCGCATTGGCCCAGAGCATCTATGCACCAAGTTTCATCAAAAACCGATGTATGGTTCTGGAGATAGCAGTGGAACAGTCGGACACACATACACACATACACACACACACACACACACACACAGACACACTAACTGCAAAGACTCCCATTATGTGCTTCGCACATGGGAGTCAAAAAACAAGATACCTGCCAGTCGACCATCTTTGATCCAATTACGAAATAAACTGTCATGGACATGTAACCTAACATGTATAATCTATGTACCAAGTTTGAATGACAACTGACAAAGCATGTCCAAAATACAACATTTTCAAAAAACAAGATGGCTGCCAGTCGGCCATTTTTAATCGAATCGCTAAACCACTGCAGGTGCATATGTCCCACATAAGGTACTAGGCACATGCACAGAATGAACGGAATCGGTCCACAGGATTCTGAAATATTACTATTGACAGACTGATGCACGAACGGACGGACGGACGGACAGACTCAGGAACTAACGGATGGTCGGGGACATGTATCCTAACATGTATGATCGATGTACTAAATTTGAATGAAAACTGACAAAGCATGTCCAAAATACGACATTTTCAAAAAACAAGATGGCTGCCAGTCGGCCATCTTTGATCCAGGACAGAAACCCATCCCATAGGCTCAGCGGACCTATGGCGAGTTACTAGTTTTTTTGAAAAACCATGTCGTTTATTCGCTGAAATTAATTTCAACAGATCGTACTTTGACATCGATAATTCACTTCCGCATTGCGAAAGCGGAAAGTCTTCAGGAATTTCCGAAGAATTGCGTTGGTACAACACAGCATTCTGATTGGTTAATAACCAACTTGACCCATTAGGTCAAAGGACGCTGCTGCAGGTCAAATGTGCAAATGCATCATGGCGGAAAGTGATTTTCATCGTGAGTTTGCGTATGATCCAACACCTTCGTCAGTGGAGATAATGATGAGAATTTTGACTTTGACTGTGTTCCAACTTCGTAATTAATATTGTAATAAAATGTGCATATTTTTTGTGATCATGTCTGTTTCTTCATTGTGAAAATCAATGATGACGCAACTAATTTCGTAATTTGATTTTTCCTCAAAGACGTAACCTGTCACATGATGAATCAAAATTTTCATTTGCACTCTTTGTTGAAGGGGGTGCTCTGGTAAGCGCCCACCTATAAAAAAATCATGATTTTCTGAGTTGAGGCCCCTGGGCGCTAATGCGGTCAAGTACGGTATATCAAATATGAGAGTTGGCAATCAATAAAGACAACGAATATAAAATGTTCTTTAAAATGAAGTCCCTTGGGTTTGTTGTTGTATATTTAATAATATCATACAGTTGTCAAACATAGTTACAACACAAACAACAAACAAGCAGCCTGTCGGGTGAGATACATGTAGCTCCACTGTTAGCGATGCACATTTCAATTAAAGAACTGAAGATATCATTAGAAAGTTAACAATATGTATAGTATCAAAGCAATCAAACTTGTTGTTTTTAACAAGAAGTCGAAAATATCACTTTTCACCAAAAATATTCATCAAAATCAGAGAATTAAAGATATCATCACAAAATGAACAAATCTATATCAAAGCAATTAGACTCATGGTTTTCAACAAGAAGTCGAAAATGTCACTTTTTATCAAAAATTACAAAAATATTCACCAAAATTAAAGAATTGAAGATATTATCATGAAACGAACAAATATGAAAGAGGTCCACATGTAGTACCTATATATGTAATATCAAAGCATTCAGGTTTGTAGTTTTCAAGAAGAAGTCGAAAAAGTAAAAAGTTGACACGGACGACGGCGGACAATCACTCATATGATAAGCTCTGCTCGACAAAGTCGACAGTGGAGCTAAAAAGTAAACTGAAAGACAACGTATGGGAATCCATGTCAGGATGACTTACAATTTACATAATGCGTCATCGTCTGCGATTTCCACATCATCACTGCTACATTCACACTTCCTGCCATATCGGAAGGATTACAAACGCATCCACCACACACCAACGTACCATTACCATTGTTGCATTCATCA